TGGGCAGGAAAGCATGGACCCATCAAATAAAAGAAAGAATTCCGCACAACCACCATACAACCTACGCAAGAGGACAATCTATCAAAGCCGGGTTTTTTCCGTACAAAGCCGCGTTTTCTTCGGGCCACCCGCCGTTTTCGCGGCGCGGCCGACGCGATCGATTCGGATCGGATGGGATTTCGTGTGAGGCGAGTGGTGCAAAGCCCAGGCGCCGGCGTTGCCGTGGCTGACGGAGCGGACTCAGCGGGTAGAGGTGGCCTTGGCAAGCTTCAACCCAGAGTTCCTGGGATCTGGATTCGGATCGCCTCGGATCGGTCGATTTTTTTTTGGGTTGCTTGGGTTCTTGGAGTCTCCTTCTGAGCTTGAACTGTTGTTTTTCGTGGGAGTGGGAGTCTTCTTCTCACCAGATGGGGGTCAGGAGCCCTGTCTTTTGGGTGACCAAATGTTTGTGCATTTTCAAAGAGTTCAGGTGTTCCTGGCTCTTGTGATACGAACGAAGCTGGGGATCAGGAGCCATGTGTTAGGTGGAGGCTCCAGGTTGAGGCTTCAGGGGGGGAGGTTGTGTTTTGGGAAAGCACAAAGGAACGCAGGTTTGGGGTGCCCAATTTTGACAACTACCCCACATTTGCATTGAGGGTGGAGTGGGTACATTGGGTTCAGCCAGCAACATTAGGTTTTTCTGGCTAAGAACACCAGGAGGGGATGGTTTAAATCGGGGTCATTTCATTTCTCATTCCCTGAGCACCAACAAGTTTTGGCGTGCCCTAATTGAGACATACCCACATTTCAAATCCCCCTGTCTTTCTTTTTTCTTTACCTGTGAGGTTGTTGTTTTATGTTTTTCATTTTTCGGTTGGACATATGGTTGCAACCCTGTTAACAGCTTGTTCTTTCATGATGCTGTGTATGTTGGCTGGGTTGGGTTTGGTTAGATTCCCCGGGGTCCATTGGGTTCAGCAGAAAGCTAAACAACACATGGCCTGGGCTTTGTTTTTTTTGTTTAAACAAGTAGTTGGTACAACTTTTTGGTTTGTTTGAGAAGGGAAGCCACAGGAAACCCACAGCTTTCATGTTTGACCCCCTGGTTCTTGTAGGGAAACCCTTCTTGACCACCGAACCACCGGGCTCCAACCACCAATCACCAGCCCCCCCCCCAACAATCCCAGACATTCAAAAATTGTTGGGACCCGGCTGTACGGTGAAGCTGAACTTTTCGGGACTGCCTCAAATTACCCCAAAACAAAGGTGGTTCCCCCAAAATTGTCTGGTTAAGTCCAGGTGGCCAGATGGTATCCCCAGCCCTGGAACCCTTTTGACCCCTCCCCTTTCCCATGAAAAGGCCGGTGGATCCAAATTGGATGATGACGATCCTTAGACCATGGCGGTCATATGCGCCCAACCATTGTTTAAGTGGTGGTAACTGAACTCCAGGGCCTTCCTGAAAGCTGCCCATGCTGCCCCCAACCGCCCGCTATCGCCTTCTGGGCATAGCGACCAAATCCATGGCGTTCGATTTGGTTCAAGGGTTGGAGGGTCATGGGTGCTGGGTGCTGGTAGAGAGAAGCTGGACTTGGGTGAAAAGGACTGCCATCCTCAGACTAGACTAAAAACAAGGGGGTGCGTTAAACCTAGTAACTTTGAAACACGTGGTCTTGGTGTGGTTTTCCCTTTGGACCGCGCCCCCTTTGTATTTTGCTTGAGGCTCCCGGTCGTTGTCGGTTTTTTGTTTTTTTCCAGCAGGAACGGTTTGCGCTTCAAACTACCGTTTGAAACGGGCTTTTCGCCTATAATCATGGGGCTTAAAGGGGTAGTTCGAGGCTCGTTGCTTTTGCCTTCCCCAGAAATAGCTCCCCTATTTGACCTTTTGCTTTTTTTTGGATCCACTGTGTTTTCCACTAACCGGGCAAGACAATATCTCGTATTTTTTGCTGGGGCCCTAATTTCCGCGTCAAGTCTTGGAGTGGTGTTTGTCTCCTCACCAAGTTGCTTTAACAACCTATCTCGCTTTTTGCCGGGGCCCTTCCCGCCAAGTTGCTTTTGCTGCGAAGCGGAGGTTCGGGCTTCTCACCTTGACGGGGGTGAATTTGTGGATGGCGCGGGGCGGGCGCATGCGGAAGCGCGTGGAGCTCATGCCGCTTGGCCGAGGCTTGGAGCTTGGAGTGGCTCGGACCCGTGGGGAACCCCAAAACGGTGGTCCTTTTGGGAAACCCCGCTGAAAGCCACCGAAGAAGGGGTCGTTCCTTTAAAAAAGCACACACCCAGCCAGGCATGCATACTTCAAGAAACAGATCGTGTGATTTCTAAAGTATTGGGTCGATTTCTCGTTTTTTCAGGGTAGTTTTGAGGGTAGTTCTAAGGGGTAATTGGCGGTTTTTGGTTTCCCCCTGTGGTTTCAAAAGCGACCACTTTTTGCGGCAAAGCTTTTCTTTAGCACTGTAGCAGCAACATTTCACCTTTGACTCACCAAGACCACTTGTTTCCACCCACCTTGAGCCTCAAACTGCCCACAAACAAAAAGGGTAAACCTCTAGTTTGAGGGGTTCAGGCACCCTATTTAGTATCCTTTTGGTGTCTTCTTTTCTCCCAGGGCCCCCGGGTCAATCAGCCCAGAACCTCCCAGCCAAGCCTCAAGCCACCCGATCCGAGGTCCGTTTGGATCACCTTCTCGCAGCCCACCTTGGCGAATGTGCCCATGATGGTCTTCGCAGCTCGGCGACTTTTTTTCTTCATCGAACGACTCTTGCTGGGTCCGGAGGGATGGATGGAGTTTTGTTGGGGCTCCAAGAATCGCAGGTTTTGAGACCAAAAAAATGGCCATCCCCAGAATTAGCTCCCCTTTCTAGTTGTCTGCTTTTTTGGGGTCCCCTTTGTTCTCCACTAACCAGGCAAAACAAAAGGTGTTTTGCTGGGGGTCATAGTTGCAGCCTTTGGGGTTTTGACCCATGGCCAGATGGGTTCCCGCTGGTTTCCGTTTGGTTCCAATCTACCAGCTGTTGGTCTTTCCAAAAGGACACCTATGCGAAGGACTCGCATCGATGATCGACGGAATTCGGGACCGCTTGGGTTTCGGAAGCGTGTGGATTGGTTTAGGAATCGGAGCCCCCAAACATGGTTGGTGTTTTTTTGGGTTAACCTTTAAACAAGGCACACATGGTGTACGATCTTTACAAAAGAGCAGACCCATGTGGACTGTCAGCACAGACCTGCGGCAAGTGTTTGTTTTTTGTCGCATGCTGCAGCCAGTTAGGCGTCCATTTGGGTCCTCTGCCTCTGCTACATCTTGCTCTCCGAGATCCTCGAGATCTTCTCGGTGTTTCGGAATGCCGAGCAGAGGTGGTACAAGGCGGCTTGCGGAGACCGCTCGCTTTAGATGAGCAAGCAACACCCGCGTAGATGAAGGAATGAAAATAAGTGGGGAAGAGTCCCATCCAGAAAGGTGCGGGTATCCGCTTTTGTTGATTCTTTACAAGGTTTTGGGCGGATGCCTTTAGTATCGGTGGTTGATTGTCTCTCAGATGCATTGTCAGCGCCCATTTTTCAGGCGCCTCCCTCCCCCCCAACAAATAGAAATAGAAATAAAACAGCAAAACACGGGGAGACTCCTCCAAAAGCTTTTTATTGTTCCACGTTCATTTGCAGTGTATCACTGCAGGCAACCAGGGTTTCTTGCCTGATTACCGGTTCCCCAAGGGTAGGTGGAGCTCACTTTACGGGCAACACTACTGACAAGCTCACACGAGGATTGATTGCCAGCTCAGCTAGGCTCCTCACATTCACGAGGATTCTCTATTTGTGGTAGGACATGGAATTGTCCCATTTCTAGTCTCTCCATGTCCGCGAAATCTCATAGCTCTCCCCTCTTGGTTTTAAGGGAATCTACCACGATGACCTGGCCTTTAAACTGTTTGGTCATTGCCCAAAATAATGGGGGCATGAACCGATTTTTCAAGGTCATGGAGACTCCAACTACACATATATATATATATATATATTTTTTCCAGGAGAATTTTAAGCAAACGCCTTGCCATTCAAGGTGAGTTTCCCCTTGGTGAGATGATGATTGAGGAGAAAATGTATCATGGACCCACCATGACCCACCCACCCACCCACCCACACCCACACCCACACCCACACACACACACACACACCCACCCACCTGCCCACCCACCCACGCACCCACCCACCTACCCACCCACCTGCCCACCCACCCACCCACCCACCTACCCACCCACTTACCTACCCACCCCACCTACCCAGCCACCCACCCACCCACCCACCCATGTCTTAAGATGTGGCCTAATGCGCGCCAGCTGTACCTATTGAAGTTGGGTGCACATGGGTGTACCAATGTGTTGATCGCCCAGCTGGTTGGCACTGAGCCGTTTGGAGCTACCGATCGGAGTTCTGGTTAGGAACATAATCATTACGACAAACACATGAAACTGTGCTTCTTGCAGAAGGTCATGAATGGTGAATACCTGCCCGGATTTATACGCTGCACCTTGTGTTGGTCCACATCTTGAGGCCTTTTCTGCAGGTGTTCTTTCATGTTCTTGCAGGGGATCATATACTCCCTACAGATCAAAGAAAGGTTTGCCAAGGACACGGGCGACCATTTCCCAAAAGGGGTTTCCGATCTTAACATGGTGGGTTTTCGGGTTCCGTGTTAGACCGAAAATCGGGGGAGTAGATCATGGCTACTCCAGTACTGCTGCGTATGCCTGCTCGTTTTGTGACTTAGTTCAGAACACTGCTCAAAGCCGGCAGAAGGTTTCTATCCGCTGCAGCCTTCTGTTCTGCATCATGGGTGTGGACTCATCTGAGAAACTATGTCGCAGTTGACGTTTCACTGACCAAAACCGAAACCTGAATGCGGCATTGAAAGACGTGCATAGAAATTGGGGTAGGGATGATCAACCCCATGATTTATAGCCCGATTCGCGATTTGGGGTGAGAGGCTTCAAAGGGCACAGCCCAACAACATGGTTTCTGCAGTTGCAAAAGGTTTCCTTTTGGTGTCCTCACTCCCTGAGTTTCTGGACTTTAGTCACTTTTCGGGTTTGGTGGCCATTTTAAGTGGACAACAGTTTGGATAGGTTCTTGTTGGCCCATCTCGTTTGGAAGTTCTCACCAAGCCCAGGAAACCCTTCAGACATAGTTTGGCTCAGGAGGCGGTAGCTTGAAAGAAATGGAGAAATCCAAAATGGAAAGCCAACAAAATGGAAAGGTTGCACAATTCCCAACGGGAAGGAGTGACCAGCTTGGAATGTACCTCTACTTTCAACCAACTGGACTCTGTATCTTACTACTGATAGAAATCGCTTCTGCCTATTATTGCTTTTGTGTTTTTTGATTTGGCAAACACCATTGATTAATAGGGGTATAACAATAGGGGAAGTGATTCATCTAATAATTTCAATATTCGAGCATATCTGTATTATTGGCCAGTAATCTTGGTATTTCTAGCATATTCATCTCGCCTAGCAAAATTTTGCGCTGGACTTTAGTAACTTCTTGTTGGTTGCCATTTTGGTAGCGAACACAAAGTTTGGTGACTCTTTTGGGGGCCATCGACTCGATCAGAAGTGAGGTAGTCTTATGGTTCCGGCCGGATGGACCCAAAACAAAGCGAACGGATTCACCGAGCTAGTATTCCTATGCACAATTAAATCTTTCTACGTAGCATATCCATCTCGCCTAAGCATAATTTGTCGGACGTATCTAGGTAATCTTACTTTTCGGCCGGATGGATAAACCAAAATCAATCAGACAGATTCACCTCCTTCTAGCATATCCATCTCGCCTAGCATAATTCGTCGGCCGTATCTTATGTTTCGGCCGTATGGAGCAAAACGAAGAAACGGATGCGCCGAGCTTGAGGCCTTCTGGGAAGAATACTGCAAGCCCTGGACGCTGGTGGACTGGCTCTCCATTTGCGTGGCGGTTTGGGTCATGGTCTTGTGGACCCTTGGATGGACTGCGTTGGACGGTTCGCCACATGCATGAAGTCTCCCCCTGACGCTTAACTGAGTTACCGGCCATGGAGACTCCAGGTAGGGTTGTTGTTGTCCACGAATAAGGAACCGCTAACAAGGCCATCTTCATGCAGGGGAACATGTTTTGCTGGTTGGAACTTTGTTTCTACCAACTCAACTCGGCCGAAGACCCAAGTACTCAATACCTGAGTTCATGGATTTGAGTCACGTTTTTGGGAAGGGAGGTAATTATGTTGGTTGGACCTGGAGTTGCCTTGTTTTGATGAAACGCAACCAAGAAATGGTCCCCTTTAAACACTTCAAAGGAAGCTAGGTTCCATGATGGACAGGAGCGTAACTTCAACCCTTGAGGTTCGAAGGGTGCGCCCGTCTTTTGAAACCGTACTCCCGTGTAGTTTCACAGGAACCCAACCACTCGCCATTAGGATCGGAAATAGTCTTGGAATTGGACCCACTGTTTTTGGCAAGGCTTCCGTTAAAACTGGTAGGGGAGTATCCGTTGGGTCCGTTTTCAGAAGCGTTCAATCTACCTGGGCCCTCAAACTTGTCCACCCTCAAATCCTCCCATTTGGTTGGTTGGCCACCCATTGTTGCCGGGTTTGAGGGATGGCCTTTGGGTTTCGCTACCTCCGGATCCTTTCTGGTCCAAGGCTTGCTTGCGGCTCTCAGAGGTCAGCTTTTGCGGAACCGGCCTGCTGGTTCTGAAGGGCCCTAAAGATTTCAGGCCGCTAGACTTGGGATACATCTGTTGCCATGTTTTTTTTCCGGTGACTCTAAGTGCAGCAGACTGGGGCGAACTCGAATCTCAGGTCTTAAAGCATGCGAAGACAGTCAGCCACGGACAGGTGTGGCATACAGAGGAGGAAAGCGCATATCGACAATGTACGTTGGACATATTATAATATGTTTGTTTTAGTTGCAGTCTGCGACCAGTCCCTTCAGAAACCGGCCAAGCTGAGTTGACTGAGAACTGGTTGGCTTTTGCCTTTTAAGCAGCAACAAACACTTCGTTGCCAGACTGAACTAAGCTTTTGTTCAGGAGCAGGCCGCCGCCACCCCATGATTCTCGACCCCCTCTGGGCTCCAAGTTTTCCCAAAAGGCCATGAAGGTTTCCTTCATGTTTCCTGTTGCGCATCGGGCAAAAACTTGCCTTGTTCTGATTTGTCTTGCCTCCGGGCTTCCGTAGCATCCCCAAAAAAAGTTGTTTCCTTTGGTTTCTTTTTAAAACAGACCAACAAAGGTACCCTCCAACAAGGACAGACCCTCCTGACAACTTGTCCGTTTTGACTTGAGTAACGACAACTTTGGGGGTCGGATTGTTGGATAGGGGACCCAGTTTTTCGACGGGTCCCAAGCCAGGTTTCTTTGTTTGTTCGGACCTTCCTTTTATCGCCTTTTATGCTTTTAGCTCTTTTGTCAGGGTAACCTTAGTTGGTGTTGATGGGTGGTTTGCTTTCTTGTACCCTGGTTTCTTTTCGGAATGATGGGGAAGGTACATGGATTTGACAAAGTCGTGCCTCCGTTTAAGGCATTGCTTAAATTCCATGGGGGAGAGGGCTTGGAAGTTGTCGTGCCTCTTGCCAAAACGCACAGGAACTCTGCATGTTTGAAGGGATAGGCTTTTGGGAGGCATTGCAGTTGAAAATAGTTATTCCGTGGGGTTTACAATGGTTTAGGCATATTCTATTTTATCCGCCTAGGAGCGTTTACAGTGTGTTCCGCAATCTTGAGACTTGACGTCTCTTTTGCTACAGCTGGTTCGAGTCGGCACCTTGCTTTTCCTCTCATCTGGACTAACCTGGCGTGTTTGCAGGGCTGAGCGGGTGCGCTTGAGCGGGGGTGCTTACTATTTGGCTGGTGTCTGTGCAGCGCTGAGCCGGTGTGCTGGCGTTCCATTGGTTTTCATGTTCCTGCAGACGCCTCGCGGGGCCGGAAAACATGCTTTGCCATCATTAGCGTTCCATTGTGTTTCAGTGTTGATACCTGTCTTTTTGTAGCATGATCAGCTCGGTGATGTCACGCGTTCCATGGGGATTGTTGCCGAGGCGTGACTTAGGAGTGACTTCTTGGAATTGGTGTTTACATCTTAGGCATGACTTTGTCGTTTGCCTGTACTCCCTAACCTCCAAACCACCAATCCAAACCCAAACCAATGGAGGGTAATGTTTTTTTGGCCACCATCGGACTCAAAATTCTTCGGGCTCATTGTCCTTGTGGTTGATCCATATTCCGTTCGGCCACATGGCCAAGGGTAGCTGTTCTCAGGGAAAGTCCATATGAACTTTTGGGGAAGAACATGTAAGCGGTAAGTGGTTTTGTTGCTTACCTTTTGGTTTAAACTCTATGCATGACTCTACTTGCCTGGTTTTGTTGGAATACAACTTTGGTTACTTTTTGTTGGATCCAATCCACTGAAGTGAGGACATCTTCGTTACTTTGGTTAAGTTGGATCCAATCCACTTAAGCGAGGAAATAGAATCAAAACCACTTAAGTGAGGAAATCGAACCACTGACCTGTTTGGATCCAAACGAAGTAGAATCAACTTTGATTTGGTTGCTTATTTTGGGTAATGACACCATTTTGTATGGGCCATCGAGGCTCCAGGATCTTTGAGGAACTTTGTTTGGATCCAAACCACGGTGAGGAAATCGAACTGGCCGTGACGTCGGTCGAAGGATGGTGCTGACCTTTGCCACTGGAGAGCTGCAGACTCAGCTGGGCCAACTGCTTGACGCCCGGCGTGGAAGGGCAGATGGATTTGGCCACAGGTGCCCCGGTGTCCTTTTGGTTGCCCTTAAAACAACCAACAAATCGGTACCCTTAAAAACAGAGAGTCCTTTTGGTTCTGTCTTAATCAACCCTGAAATGAGACCCGGAGGAATGTAGGTGCTGGACCATGACCCTCCTAAAGGCTCAAATACTGTGGATGGTTAAAACATCCACATGGATAGGCAGTTGCGATGGCTTACTCCACCAGTATTCAAATCGGGCTTTAGGTTTCACCCATCCCAGCTGGCTTGTGTTTGGTGGATTTCGGCCACTCGGATCCTGAAGGGCACTGACGGGCATTTGTCAAAATAGGGGTAGCCCAGAAAGCAACCGCGGTTTCTTGTTTGAAGGCTGGTTGTATGGGTATGAACCCATCGCCTTTCGGACCCTCTTTGAAACTGAGTAAAAAACGATGAAACGCAATGGTTTCCCGTTTAGCTTCCCAAGCGGGGTAATAAGTACCCTCAAATTAAACAACCAGGACCCTCAAACTGCCCTTGCAAAAAAAGAATCGCCAACCATTTTGGGGCAACAGACCGATTTTATGCATTGGTTACGGGTCTAGAAATACCTGGAATCTCCATGGCCCTCTTGACATTACCCAAAATAATGGGCATGGACGCATGTTTTAAGGGTCGGAAGAAAAACCGGTAGATGCCTTTGAACCAACCTTAGAACAGGCACACTCGCGCCCAAACGGCTGGACAGACCGAGCCGGCCAAATCCCCCGCGCTCAGGACGTGTCCAATCCGCCGCCAGAGCAAGTGGCCGCTTTTTACGAAGCATTGGAAGAGGTCTGCGCGGAGGAGAAGCGATTTCGGCTCCTGCTGTGTCCCTTGGCTCGCTTTGGCTACCTTACAACAGTCTCATTTCCGATGGAGCTCGGACTTGAGTCACTTTTTGGGTCTGGACCACGTTTCACACACAGACTTAGCATATAAACTTGTAATAGATGGTGTAAATGAAAAATTACCTTTTACGTTTTGGCCTTAAGGCTTTAAACTTTGATACTTTTGGAAGATGATTGTTTCCCTAAGCAGCAGTCGGGGGGTCAAAAACACGGGCCAAGGTTCCTAAGGAATTGGTGAGGATCCGTATCCCTGTTTGCTCAACATATCTTTGCGAAAATCTATATTCGCCCGGGTGTATTTTGGGTTGGTTTTGCTGAGTTCCTAATTAGGAATCTTGTGAGATGTGTTTGGGAGAATCAATACGGAGGATGTTCCCGTTGTTGGAATTCTATCGCCTTCTTTATTCCTGGAGTTTGTCCGCTTACCTTTCTCGGTTCACAAAAGGCCAGGGTCAACCACACCAATGGCAGACGCAACTTTCTCTAGATACTGGCGGCAGGACTTGTAGCATGGCCAAGCACGCCTAGAGAGAATCGGGTGAGGATTTGTGCGACACCCACTAAATGTCCTTTAAGGAATCCCTTGTGTTGTGTTGGCGAACAATTGGGCTTCACACGATCACAAGGTGTTCCAAATGTAGGATTGCGGCTGCGGATTCGATTTGTTGGACGGAAGTGAGAATGCAACTGCCATGCCAAAGGATCACCCAGCACAAACACATACACTACGGTAGAGTACCCAATTTTCCCATGGGTGTTAAATTCGATTGCGGCCTTTTCTCGGGCCTAAGCAGCGTGCACATATGGGGTGTTCTTATCAAAACCAACCAAACGCGGTACTCCCCAAGAAAAGACGAGCCACTCACATATTCCCCTGCTGTTCATTTGCAGGTAAATACCTTGGATGGTGACAAAATCCATTTCACACCACTGAACAAGTGGAATACCCGTATTTACCCAGAATTCAACAAGGTTTCTCATGTTTCATCCATCCCAAGTGCGGAATGGATTTTGTCCACAGTATGTTTCCCAATAACAATCCAGGTAAGGAGCACCCTTCTTTACAAAACTGGGCTTCTAGGGTTCAATGGAATCAACCGAATCGACCTGATCTGACCGTATCTGGTCTCCCTGTTTGAACTGTTTGGCCCATTTTCAGTGGTGATCACCTTGTATTAAACAACATGTGGTACAGCTTTTGATATGAGAAGCCCTGGTATGTTTATCAGGTTTCTACCCTACGCTTGTTAATATTGAAAAGGATGCTGCTCAAACAGTCGTGCTCATGAACATTCGATTTGTTTGGCCCCCAACATATTGCTGAGGTTTCTATCCCACGCTCAGACCAAAGGACGCCACTCATATATCTGTATATATCATCAGTGGTAAGAAGCCATACCTCCAAACCCTAATGGAACAACTTGATGGTTATGATCTTCCACACCCAACCTTCACCCCTCCAAACTTCCACCCGCTTAAGACTACATTTGTGATTTTCCCTTGTTGGTTTGAAAGGGAATCTATCACTTTTCACCTCCAAACGCCTCCGGGTGTCTACTGGAGAGTCTGGGTCTTCCATTGAAAGCCCCAAGAAAAAAAGCTCTGGGCCCTGGAAATGTATGTTGCTGTCTTCCAGGGGGCGCAAAAGCAGCTGCAAAGCGCCGAGCGGCCGGAGGTTTCTACCCGATGCTGCTGATGCTGCGTCTCTTCAAATCCTTCGCCGCCCAACCGCGACTCGCGGTGGTCACCGACACCCTGTCGCTCGCCTCGCAGGTGCGGAGGGGGTTGAGGGGGGGGGTTGAGGTGAGGGGGTGGGGTGGGGTGGGGTGGGGTGGGGTGTGGGGTTGTGGGGTGGGGCGGGGGGGGGCCAAGGAGTGGTGGGGGTGGGGTGAGGCTTGGGTGAGGTTCCAACCAGTTTGGGTGCGTTCTTCCTCTTGCGGATTTGGACCCCCCACATGGCGGTTTGCTCGTTGTGGATGGTATGTACATGGACAACAAAACAGAACCAACCAGGAAAGCCAACCAAACGGTATGTAATCAAAAGGACACCAACCATTTCTGGGGTCCCCTCTCTTCTTCTTCTTCTTCTTCTTCTTCTTCTTTTGCGTCTTCCCTCTTCTTCTTCTTCTTCTTTTTTCTTCTTGTTCATATTTTGATTCGCCCTGTTGACTTTAGATGAAACCTACCACTAGTGGACGTTTTCTTTCAGGGGACTTCAGACATACCACTAGGTGGATATATTGTTTGTTTGTGGTTGTTTTTTTGAAGGGACGTCAGCAAATGGAGGAAAGGGAGAGTCTATTGGTTGCCAAATCAATGTGAGGAGCTGACATGGGACGTCTGGTTTAAGATTGGGGCATGCCATGCTGATCACTCACCTATTTCCAGGGCTGTGGTGACGAAAACCATTTCGCACCGCTTAGTAAGTGTTTTACCCTTTATTTATCCCGCAAATCACAGGGGTTTCGATCATGTTTCTTCCATCCCGTAACTATTGCATGACTTTGCCTATCCACAGAACCACGCAAAGAACATGGGGATTTCGGCTATCCTCGTTTGATTGTCCTTACCAAGCCGAAGGCCATCTTTCGCCTCACATGCCACCGACTATGGGACAAGCCGTGCGCGCAGCCGCGCGCGGGGCGGCGTGCGCCAGGACTTGCTGCACTTCGGCATCGTTCTGCTGGCGGTGATGGCCTGTCTCTGCCTCAACGGTGTGCTGCTGTTCGGACGAGCCCCGGCAGAAGAACATGAAAACAGAAGAGCCACCTAGACCCTTTTTTGTGCCAACAGACCACTTTTTGTGGGTAGCCTGAGGATCAAGCTACCCACAAAGAAATTGGATATTGCCCCACAGCTACGTGGAGATGTCCCGTTGTTCTCAAACTACCCACAAAAAATAGGTCATTGCCCCAAAGTAGTGGGGGCCTGTCCCCTTTTTTTTAAAACAGTAGTTTCTTCGGGTTTAGGACCACCGTGCGGCTCGCCACGCGAGCCATCGGGATGATTCTGGTTGGACTCTATGACTACCGGGACAAGAGTATGGTTCCTTTTCTTTGTTGTAGGGGACGGAAAAGTAGATTCAGCTTCCCCGGAAATTTGGTGGTTTGGATTTGGGATAAGCTCAGTTCCTTTGAATGGAAGGACGGTAGCCCTTGTCAGCAGCTGGTTTGTGAATGAAAAGAATGGGGAATCAACCCCTAGAACTTTGGTCAAATGTGCTGATGGTTTTTGTTTTGCGCAACCCTGTCGCAGGTGTTGCAAGAATTTACTTTATGCAAGCAAAGAGTTTCAAGATTCGCAGATGTTCTATAGGTTTTTGCGATTTGCTCAGAGTCCTTGTGAAGGAGAGTAAGCATTGCAGCCGATTCATCCTCATTGGGATTCATTTGGATGCCCAAATTCAAGGAAACCACATTTGTGTTCCTCAGGAGACTTGGAGGAGTTTGCGACCTGTTCTAATTCACAAATGATGGTGTTCCCTTGCATTTCCCTTGAAGCCGACCTGAACATGGCTACCCTTAAACAAAACGCAAGCGCTGTTTGTCTCGAACAAGACCTGTAAGAGACCCGGAGACCAATCAACACGCCGCGCCGGCGGGTTTTTGACCCGCAAGGGACCCTCTTCGCCAGTGCCAGACAATCTCCAGACCTGGAAACCTGGGGCGAGTCCATACACACCACAGAGAAAGAACACCGCCTGCCGCCGTGCGATTTTTTTGTCTTCCATTTGGTAAGATTTGTTTTGTTATTTTCCGCTGTTGGTTTTAAAGAGAATCTATCACTACTGGACTTCTTCTTTTTTTTGCAGGTGACTTGAGCAAATGGAGGTCGTGTTTCCGTTTCTCGAGGAGACTTGGAGGAGTTCGGGAACCTGTTCCGGTCCCTGCACAGCTCCTTTCGGATGATGTTCGGCGACTGGGAGTGGGGCCCCATGGAGGAGGTCTCGCGAGCCGGGGCGTACCTTTGGTTCACCATGCGCCTCGGACGGTTTTTGTTGTTTTGTTTTGTTTTGTGGGGGGGTTGTGTGTTTGTTTGTTTGTGTTGTTTTGTGGGGGGGGGTTGTGTGTGTGTGTGTGTTTTTTTAGGGGGGTGGGTTCTAGGGATTTTGGGGTTTTGGGCTATGGACCCTGAGAGCAAGGTGAGGAGGAAGGGGAGGGAAGGTAGGCGACAAGGCGTCAGGGAGGTCCAAACAAGGGCCGCATTGAAAACCCAGACAGCGCCATGTTCCTTCACAATGCTCAACTCGTGCCCGCCCAAAACGCGAGAACACGTGTGCGAGGTTCATGGTTCTGGTGGTGATCATTCTGCTGAACATGCTTTTGGCCATCATCCTGGACAACTACATGGACGTGAAGAAGCTGGGATTTCGATATGTGAATTTTGAGCAGGTCACATGCCGACAAAGTGTAGCCACAATAGACCTGTTTTTTTCCCAACAAGAAGCGCATTTCATGAAATCGGGACACCCCCAAATCAAAATTAACCAGAATTCCTGTTAACATGTTCAAGTGGCTAATGTAACAAAACCCGGCTTTGGGGCTTACAACTGGCCTTTCCATACAGGTCCTTTCCTACCTGTACACCTCAGGGCCATTTCGCATCGTACCTTTTCCAGACCAAATTCAGAAAGCAACCTTTTGGCCGTGTTTTTTCGGATCCGGATTTGCTTTCGGCTTCCCGTTGCTCGCCGGATGGGGGCCTCCCTGGGAGATTCGGAGTCGCGGTTTGGTCGGCGGCGTGGTGCTCGTCTCGGCGTGAGGAAAATTTCGGCCTCGGCGCAGACGCTGGGCCAGCAGATGCAGGAGATGCGACGCAGGAGGCAGATGCAGAAGGCCCAGGCGAGCTTAGCCTCGGGGAAACAAATTCTTTGGTTGGGCCCGGATCGAGCGGTGGGTGGTTGGTACCTTCCATGTCCATTCTTTCCAGGGATCCGTCTTTCTTTTCAGGAAACCAGCAAAAACCCAGGTTGGAAACGGATCCGGTTTTTGAAAAGAACGATGGTTGAAAAGAATGGGGAATCAACCTCTAGATTACCACCCAATCTGGGAAGCCTGAAGAAAGGCCCAGAACAGATGGGAAGCTTCAAGAAACAGCTGGAAACCCCCGTTGTGATCCGCCTGAACGGGAAGATTCCGGATAAAACAGGCAGAACCGCTTGATATTGATAGAAAGGGGGGTGTCCAATTCCTTTTGGTGGGCATTCGGACCACGTTTGGAGGGGACACTCCCCTATTGATATGACGGATCTGTGTTGGCTTCATTTGGCTTCTATAGTGCTCACCGGTTTTGGTATGTCTGGGGTTGACGTCATGACCGTAAGAATGCCTTTAGTTTGGAGACCCACTTGTTCCGTGACTCCCGGTATCAACTAATTTCCGCTCAAATGGCTGGGCACCCGGGTTTTATCAGAAGGCCCAGGGACAACCAAGACTACGTCCTTTGAATCGGTGAGCTTAGTCAATTCTTGCGGTTTGTCCTTTAATTCTCGGAGAAACCAAACGGAGAGCCGAAATCCATTTGGGTATCTTAGGGTATCCCTTTTCTTCCCCAGACTTAGTTCCCCCTTTTTGGCTTTTGCTTTTTGGGGTCCCCTTGGTTCTCCACGAACAAGGCAACAACTATCTCGTTTCTTGCCGGGGTCCTACTTCCAGCCCAAGTTTTGGAGTGGTTTCGGTCTCCCCACCTTCCAGGCCCCCGATGGCAAAAGTCAACTTTTTCGACTCGACAGGAGCGAGTGAAGCTCAGCGACGTGTGGCGCCTGTTTGTGTACCTCGGAGTTGATTCGGCGGGTGTTTTAGGGGAGTCCCTGCCCCAAATATGTCCTTTGCGGTCTCCAAACTATAGATTCACTCCCTGAGTTCCTGGACTCCACATATTGGGGTATGGACCATTTAGAGTTTGAAGATATTTTCTTTGTACCAAAGTTGTAGGTTGTGACTCAGCAAGCCAACCATCGGGCTGAGCTTGAAATCGGCATTTTATGGAGCCCAAGGTTTGGTTTGCTTCGAAGCCCGGTTGTTTGTTCGGGAATCAAACTGCGGGTTCCGCTAGGGACGTCGTTCGGCGGCAGGGATGCTTGTGGGGGATGTCTTTGCGGTTTCTTGAGTGATGTGTTTCGGGCGTGTCTTTGGGTCTTTGGAGGTGAGGTATCTTCACGCGGTGTTGGGGGTGTTTGCGTGTTTTTTGTTTTTCTTTGGTGATGTAGAATTTTGGGATGTCTTTGGGGATGTCTTTGAATTGTCATCGGGGCTGCCGTTGGCCGCCATCTACGGGGTCTTCGTTTGTGGTGGGTCATTGCAGGTATCTTTGGGGAATGTCTCGGAAGATGTCTCGGGGGTGTGTCAGAAAATGTGAGTTGGAATTTTATCTGGTTGACTGTCTTTGCAAGTCACTGTCGTGTCTTGAAGGGTGGCTTTGGGGATGTCTTTGGAGATTTTCATTTGGAACGTGTCTTTGAGTTCTTAGAACCTCTCGGGGATGTTTTGAGGAGATCTCTTTGGGGGCTGACTTTGGGGTTATGTTGGGGCGCTTGCCGGGATGTCTTCGGATATGGAATGCTTTGTTTGTGAGGGTATCTTTGGGGATGATTTTGGGTACGTGTTGAGGAATGGGTTTTTGTTTGTGTGTCTTTCAAGGGTTCTATAGTTGTTTTTTCCAGTTACATATTGCGGGGGGTGTCTTTGGGAATGCTTTGGGGTGTCTTTTGGGGGCAGTATACGTCTGCATTCGGGTTCGTGGCGTTTAGTTTGTTCAACCGCATAGATTGCTCGCAGCTTGGCGGCCCTTTGAGTCACGCGCCTTCGGTGATTTCTTCAGGAGAAGTTCTTGGGGGCATACCTCGTGAATTCTGAAGATGATCCTGCAAAGACCTAACACATTTGGACTAGCCTAAACACAATTATTCCAGCAGGCTTCGCGAGCTCAGCGTCTTTTTTCTTCTTCTTTTTCCCATGTTTTCCCTATTAAAGAGGAGTCCTTAGTTGGGTCCTTTTTGGAGTGGCAATTGCGTGAAGCGTGTACCAGCAAAGGTACAGATGCGAGGAACCTATCTTGTTTTAATGTCGGTGATGTATCATGATTCGCTCATACATTTTCCTGGGGGGTCAGCTTACGCATCATGGCTGATTTTGTTTGGTGTCTTTCGATGGCACCTTTTTAGGCTTTTGTCTTAAACGAAATCAAAAGGAAGCCACGCATTATCGAGCGTCCTTTTTCTCGAGACCGGAACGCCAATGTGTTTCAACCACCGGTTTAGTTGAGCCAATTAGCAAATTTATTAGGGGTCTTTCGGGTCAATGACCCTGACATGAAACTTGGGGTCTAAGGGGCTCGGGAAACTTTGGACTTTTTGACCAAGTGTCTCTGAATCAGATTGGTCCAGGGTCGGCTACAAAATACAAATTCGCTGGCCGGTTGGCTCAGCGCCTTCTTTCAGTACCCGCAGAACCTTAAGCCTTGGAAACGGCGACCAGTCGACCTGTTTGGAAGGGGGTCTGTGTGACCAGCAGTACATTGCTTGCATTAAGACCCGGATTGAAAGAAGGGTTGACCCAATTTGGATGATGACAACTGCTTGGGAAAACCGCGGGTATATCAACCCCCATTGTTTTAATGGTGGTTTGAAATTCAGGGCAGGGGTTGTCGAAATTACTTTGGAGGCTGGGAATACTCTTGATAATTTTGGCTCGGGTTTTTAGGTTGTCGCTTCAATTATGGTTCTTAGGGAATGAGAAGACCTCAAACAGAACCATCCAAGTGGTTCACTGAAAGGGAACATCACCGTTGTTGGCATCGTTTTTAGGATTTGTGTTTGCTTGGTTCGCTTCATTTCAAGTGGGTTCTGCAAGAAACATTTCTTTGCGACCATACCAAGGTTGGCAACAGAACCGCACATGAATCCTTCCCAAACCCTGGACAAAATTTCCTACTGAGAGCCAACTAGCAATGGCCCCCCACGTGGATTCGGAAAAAGAACAATAAGAACAAACGAAAGAAACAAACATGCTAATCTTTTCGCACTCTTGTCACACTCTTTTCGCACGGAAAGAGAATCCACAGATGGGGCATCCAAGCTGGGTGCGAGCCCGTAGTTGTGAATTTCTTCTGCAACCCGGATAACGAAACTGTTTTTTTTCCAGACCTAAGTAAAAGATAGTAGTACCGAGCCATTACCCTTGATTTTTAAAGATTGCCATTTTGAGATACAGGTAAATGGATCGGGTGAACATCCGAACTGGCTGCTAAATAGCAACTGTGAATTCCTTTAAAAGCGGAACATGTTTTCCATCCTGGCTGTGCTTCTTTTTTGGGTGGTCTCCCAAAATTGTGGTTTTCCTTTTGGTTCCCTGTACCTCCAGCAAAAACGGGTACCCGCAAGAAGGACACCCCAATGTGGAGAGTCCGAGAGTCCTCCTTTCGGTTGGGTGCTTCCAGGGAGGCGAAAATCGCCCAAAATCGCCCTCCGCCGAGGGACCACGAAGGTGGCGTGAAGGCAGCTCTGTGCTCGGAGCGCCCGCTGACGGTGAGCTCGCTGCAGGACATGGTGCCAGGAGCGCGATTCCAACGGCCGGGCGGTGTGGTGCCGGCGGGGCGGTTGGGGGCGGGCAAGCAAAGGGGCGGTTTGGGATTGTGGCTCGCGGTTGGGGCGATTTTCCGTTGCCGTGGCAAGGCCCCTTAACCAGTTTTGGGGGGTGTCCGACCGGAAAAGCATGATGGGGCAGGGTGAACACTACGGTTAAGATCTGAACGTTTGTATTCTTTGGGCAGATTCTGTGGACCCATTATATAATCCAGGGCCATGTTGGCTTGGCGGCTGTATTCCCATAGCTTAGTCGTTTGGCAATTTCACCACATTTCACCAACTCAGTAAAGTTCGTTAAAACCAGAGGTTCAATGTAGCGTTGACTGCCTCTATAGCCTAACTCGGTCTCCCCCTGTCCCGAACGGTCGTGCATCTTTCCCCGCCGCAGGCAAACGGGAGAAGTGTCAGATCAGTTCACCTTGGATTTCGGAAGGCACTGCAAAACAGTCACTCACTCCCCGAGTTCCTGGAGTTGACACGCCATTTTAGCGGTCGGCCTATCCACGAGTCACAATGTTAATCCCGGTACTGGTCTGGTCATGCGCCCGCCCGGGATTTTCCGCCGAACCCCTGCTTGATTTTCATCGGTTGTGTGGACATCCGTGATCTCCCCTGTAGGTTCTACTGAGACCCGGGCTTTGATCCGGGCTTCTAACTGGGCGTGTCTTCTTTTTCGGCACCCCAAAATGGTGGGTGTCTCGTTGATTTCCGCTTAAAACCCCCCAGAAAGGGTACCGAGCCTCTAAAAAAGGACACAGGCTCATCTGGACTCCAGGACCCAAATTGGCTGGTTTCCTCTCTTTTATTTTATTTTAATCTTTTGAAACCTAGGGAAAAGTGAAGTGGAACCTAGAAAACGGAACTTCACCCCATGAATTTGGGGCAATAACAACAATATGTATGGGTTGCCGAATTGGATGACAATCCTGAACAACAAACCATGGTGGTTCTATGAACCCAACCATTGGCTTTAATGGTGGTCTGCCTGAACCCCTCGTAAACAACCCCTTCTGTTTCCACCGGTGGCCTACTTCAGGCGTCCAGTACCTGGACCCCTGGACCCTTTGCGCTCGCATCTGCGCCAGGAATCCCCAGACCCCAGGCGGCGCGCACATTGCAGAACTCCTGGATGGCTCACCTCAAGGTGGGGCGATGGGGGTACGAAGGTGCCGGCTTCCTTGTCAGTTGCTTGCTTGCTTCATATGGCTGGCTCGAAACCCCAAAAACGTTGTTTTTTTCCCCTTGGTTTTTCCCTAAAACTCCCACCATTCAAAATAGGCATCGTTTTGTCCTGTTGGTTTTGAAGGAAAGCTCGCCAAGCAACGGGGAAGCCCGCAAAAGTATAGAGACACTCATTCACGGATCCTGGAATGGGAGATCTACCAGAGGCTTTTCAGGCTCAGGTTTCCTGGGGCTCCGTACTTTTCCCCCGGAGTTCAGTTGCCACCATTGAAACCAATGGTTGGGTTCGGGGGAAAGAAACAAAACATGGTTTACCTAAGGATTGTCATCGTCCAATCTGGGATCAACCTTTCTGTTTCCTGGGTACCAGGAAGTCTTTTGCCAGATGAAGTGACTAGCATTGTTCAGCCATGTTATTTGATTGTGTTAGTTTGGGTCTGACACCGTTACCTGTCAGTTTTGCTCCGTCCTTTTGTCTGTGAATAAAATAAGCTTCGACTCGTTTTGGCCAATCCACCTGTTTTTGTTTGTTTGTTCTCCCGGGGACGCTTGCGAGTTCTAGGTCTAACTCCTGAGTTCCTGGGCTCAGGTCACGTGGATTTGGGCCGTAGTGATGAATAACAAGCTCCTGCACCCTCAAACTACCCCGAAACCTCGCTTATTGTTGGGAAACATTTCACATTTTTGCTTATTGTGGTTTAGTGGGCCAAAACAAAAGGAATCACCCCATTTGTTTGCAGCAAGAACAACAATCCATGCACCCCCCCGGATGGTTCGCTTCGATCCCAAACAGGTGCCATTCCCCCACGAACAACAGTCTACATGGGTGTGTGTTTTTTTTGGGGGACCCTCCAAGATTTTTTTTTTCTGGTTTCCCTTTGAATGTGGGTACCCTCAAAAAGGGAAGATGCACATGGAGTCCTACCAGTACCTAATAGCTCCGTTTTGATAACTAGTGAAATTCATCAGCTCCGTCTAAAATGAAGATACTCAGGGGATCCCATTGTTACCTGCGAGTATAGCCCACATACCCTCGAACTCAAACTCACCCACTCAATAAATATTTGAGCATCTGATAGAATCATGCAACGTAAATGTGATACTCGACAGGCGCATCAAGTTGACGCAAACAACAAGTTTCCCAGTTGTTCAGGCAACCTTCGTTTGCTTGGTGGCTTCCCCGCACGTGGTGAGCCCCCGAGGTCTCTGAACAGCTGGGTTCCATGTTGTACTTTGTCTTGGCGATACTTTAAATGCACCTCAAAACTGAATTGCTGGTACTCAGTAGGAAATGACCGAGTCCCGGTTTTGGGAATGAACCGGAAGGGGATGCCCCTAGAGGACACCACAGAGGATGGTTTTGTTCGGGTTCATCCCGCTTTTTACTCCCTGCCTGTCGAACCAGAGAGCTGGTTGGCGGACATCGATCTCAAAATTCCCCTTGAAGCATCGGAAGCCGGGCCTATGAAATGGGTGCCAGCTGGAGAAAAAAAAACACCCTATCAAGCAAATCCTGTAAAGAAGAAAAAGTGGTGGAGGCCTTGGGGACCTAGGTGTGTCTTGGAGCTATGTTTTTATAATTGCGTGGAGACGTTGGACAGTTGTAGGTTATCCACTACTATTCCCGAACATGGTAAGTTCTTTTGTTGATGTGTTTATAGCTGGTCTCGTCATGCTGCAAGGTGTCACGTGATAAGTCTGTCAGCTGTTTGGGTAGCGAGCATCTATCATCAATATAAAGCCTCGTGAGCTGTCCGTTGACAACGTTTCGAGGGGAGCACGGATCAGATGAGACAATTTACCGATTTCGAAATCGAGTGAGTAAAGGGGAGAGGTTGCCGCAAGTCAGCTTGCTTTTTTTGGGGTGGCGGTGGGGGTCCCAAAAACAAATGCTAAAATATGTGGGCTGCAATGGTTGCTTGCCTGGAAAATGCCTGAAGCACATCGCAACCGCCCGTTTCGTGTATAGCCAACATGAGTAAGGCCCTGGTTGATTAATCGCTACATCCGTTGGGGGCTTGGGCATGCGCCCCTCTTCATCCGCCAGCTTTGATTGGCTTCGAATTTCTACCAGGAATATGCTCCAAACTGAAAAAGGTGGACGTACATTCCAATGTTCATGATTCCCATCGAAGGGTACAAGCACTTGCAACGTTATGACTCCCTGATTTTCTGGATTTGAAACTTTTGGCCTGGAAATAAAGACTAACACCTGCGTAACACGAGCCCTTTCTTTTGGGTAATGACCAATGATTTTTAAAGGGTCATATGGAGACTCCAGGTAGCTCCTTCATTTTTTAGGGCCGCGGTTTCGGGCAAAACGGCGAACACCCGAAGATTGGGGGCTCCTTGAGGCGACCACCGCGCCGTTTGAGCTGAAGCATCTCGGCGGGGGGTGGGGGTAGTGGGGTGGGGGTGGGAGTGGTGGAGGTGGGGAAGTGCTTGATTTTAGGTATGTCCTTCAACAACCTTCCAACTCAAAATGGGGCGACCGATTTTGAGACAAACCCATGCTTTTCCCGTGGGTTCCAGTGAAACACCATCTGGACATCACCAGATTGATGTGGAACGAAGGAAGAGGAAGCCCTCAAATGGAGCATCCATTCTTTTTTACTCTGCCGATTCACATGGAACACCATTTGCAGCGGAAACGCCTTTTGGGAATTGAACCCCCCTTTGGGATTCCATGTTAAGCAGGGGAGCTAGTACTCGAAGTAACCCAAAAGCAGCTTCCAGTTTGTTTGTTTAAGCCTTTTTTCGTCCCAGGAATTTGGGGTGTGGTGTTTAGTTTCGTTCTGCAGAAAAGAAGCTGGAGCCTACTTCTGACCCTTTAAAGCTGGGTTGCTCAAAAGAAAGGGGTCATGACCCAAATCCGGTGATGAAGACTCCAGGAAAGCGTGCTTTAAATGCTTGACAAAAGTATCTCAAGGAGCACAGACGCCGGCATCATCAAACAGTGTGTGTAGATCTGTTTGTCAAACAAGCTGTTTTTCAAGCTTCAGTTTGCGCAGAAGACATGGCTTAAGTTCGCGCATTTACATGAATCCCATGCGTATGTGCTGTTTGAGGGATTCCCCGGTTCAGACACCGGAGGAACGCTGCTCCAATGTAAGGAGCACAGGGACTGCGGATGCCGTTCTTTTTGTCCCGGTTCGGACCAGATGGCTTGTTGGCTAATAATATGTTTTACTTCTCCCTGCGGGGTTTAAAGGGAATCTATGACCCCTGAATCCTGAACATATGGGGTTGTTGCTGTTTTTTCTCCCCATCTGCACCTTCATTTGAACACGTTTTTTTGCTCGATGTGATTTGTCACACTTTTTCTGGCCGACTGGTCAAATATGGGCCGGTTGGGCCGAGTTGGAAAGAAAATGACCGATTCTATGGAAAAGGGTCGTGGCTATCCTTGCAGGCTGTTGTTTTGCATGGACGGCCCGCAACTGGCCTGATGATCTGTTTGCCCTACCTGGACAATACTTCTGGATTGAAACCCTGGAGTTCGCCAGCTGATGAGGCAACAGAGCTGGTTTTGTGTGATGCAATTCTAGATTTGATCACTTTTTGAGATCTGCGTCCGTTTGTGGGTTTTTGCGTCTGTTTTGCGGGTTTTTGCGCCCGATTTGCGGCATTTTTGGGGCGCGAGTTTCCGCAAAAACAGCAAATGGTCAGACCAAAGGCCAACTCTTGCTTCCAATTCCTGTCCCTGTGCTGGCTCCACTTCTTAACGACACGAAATTCAGGATTTGCAACAAAGCTAGGCGGTGCCTAGAGCCAGCCGCAGGCTCAGCTGCCCCGAAAATGCTTCACAGGTAGGAAACGTACTGTTTTTACAAAAAACAAATGTTTCTCAAAAAACTGCTCGATTGTGACAACGACCAGTTTTGAAGGCCACTTCCAGAAAAAGTAGTCGATGTCCCAATTGAACAAAAATAAGCGACCGCTTGACGCTGCAGGCTGGGGAATTAAGCAAAAACAGACATGGAGGATGGCACGGGTTTCAGTTCGGGATTGAACACTTGGCAGTACCATCGAGTTGTTCAGAAGGCTTCCGAACAACGCATGGCTGAGTCTTTTTGGAGGACCCCCGAAGATAGTGCTTGTTTTTCCGACGTGGTTTCCCTTTACAGGCACAACTCCAGGATACCCCTTCGCTTTGGTGAGGCACGCGCAGCTGCCTCTGTGCCGCTTCGAGGCGGAGACCCGGCGCCTGCGGAACGAGCTGCGGCTCGGCGATCGTTTTGGGCGTTGGTCCCGTTTTGGGCGGCGGTACGTGGCTTTGAAAGGGAAACCAAAAGCAACATGGGGGTGTTAGCCAATTGCGCATGTTCCTGTTGGTCTTTTGGGAGAATCTGTTTGGTTGGCTTGAAAGGGAACCAAAAGGAACATCCACTACTTTTGGGGGGGGAGTCCAAGTCTGAACAAGAAGACGCGGGAAATGGTTGTGTGAAGATTGCCAAAACCAGGACATGGGCTGCGAAATTCGTTGACACCTTTTGTCTTGTTGAACATTTCCTTAACGTAGGTCCTTTGCCTGATTCAATTCTGGCCACGAACTTTAAGAGCCCCGCTGCCCTTTAGCCCTGGCCCAAGTTCCCTTGGAATATTGTTGTGTTTTTTGGGTACAACGGGTGAATGTGTTCCTGGAGTCTCCTGCCCACTTTTCAAACTTGGGGAAACCCATGAGCGCTTGCTTTTGGAAAATGACCCTTTGAGCCGTAACCTGAGTAGCAGGAGGGGCAAGGGACAGTCTCAGGCAAAACATCGGTGCACATATCCACCCTCGGAATTATTTTCTCATTCTGGTTGACCACTTCAGAAATAACCAGGTTTTTCGTACGCCTTTCGAGGTACCAAGATTCTGAATTGGGGTGTGGAGGTACACCCCAACAGGAGTTCTGGAGCCGTGCTTCCAGGTACGTCATCCCGCTTCTTTTGGAAACCATAAATGCGAAAATCCCACTGTTTAATGCAGCCGGACCCATCGAACAGGGTAAATAAAAAACATTTGAGACCCTCAAACTAGCCATACCTGGTCTGGGAGGAGTCGCTAAGCGGTTAGTCTATTAGTAGCCCTGGTTGTAACCCACAAAACCCATGGTTGTAAGGGTTTAGGGTTACTAACCATTTGGCGAATTAACTCCCAGACCATCCAAGTAAAAATGGTTGTTATTGTTTCAAAATAATGGGGTGCTTTCCCTTCTTTAAGGGTAGCTTGAGGGTCCTTGCGAACCTCAGGGCTCCGGTTGGCGTTCAGGGCCTTTGGTTTCTCACCCTCACCTTGAAACGGATATCAACGGCAACATGTGGGCTTGAAATCCCTATGACTCATACCCTAAGTATGTACCTACAAACAAGTAGGCAACCTGCTTTGGGTAATTGGAGCACGCATAGCTTTTCAGGGGGCTTAAGCTAATCTCGGGGGGTATTTGTTTGTTTTGGACACAACAGAGGAATGGAATGAATCATTGGTTGCCAGGTTGGGCTTAACTGCATGATGTCCAGTTTGGGATGCTCCATTGAACACATGCCCAGCTAGGTATCCCAAATTTGACACATCATCGCAAATTTGACACACGCATTGGTTTGGTTAGCCAGGTATTCTGCATGTGTCCCAAATTTGACACATGCGTTGGTTTTGGTGTTGGAGCCAGGTATTTCATCTTCGACCGCCTGGACTTCTACGACACGAGGTTCAAAGGTGGGGAGAAGGAGGAGTTCTCTGAAGCGGCCCAGACCGACATGGCGCAGGAGCGCGCAAAGTTCCAACTGAACAGACCAGGGAACAGATGTGGGTGTGGGTCATCAACCCCATACACCACAACCCCCCCCATTTATAGAGGGATCTCCATTGCCAGGGGGGGAGGGGGGGGACTCTTCGGGTTCCGTATTTGGCCAAACATGGCATGTGGATCACCACCCCTCTTGCCATTTTTGGGGTAGCTTCCCTTTTGTTTCGCCCTTTTAAAGAGAGAATCTGCTCCAACAGTACCAGGCTTTTGACCCGCATCCAGATGTCTATACCAGATTCTCAGCTGTTGATTGTTTTATTATTATTACTATTATGATTTACGAACATGCTGCAAAGACAGCTTGGCGGGAGCCTGTTTGTGCGTTTCGATTTGAGGCCACTAATGCTCCAAAGAAAGAACTAGAAAAGTCCTTAATCAAATAACATGACTACACCATGCATTGTGCGTATGGGCAGGCAGGATTAGTTGCCCAATGGGTGAGGTGTTGCATTCTTGAGCCCGGCTGCCACAATCTCGAGTGTGACTCACCTGAAATCTTTGTAGGGTGAGGGACACGTTTGGGCAACAACAATAAGATCTTTTGGCACAAAACACAAGGTTTGCCCCCAAAACAAAATACGGATCACAGTGGACTCGAACCACCACGGTTGGTTCTGCAAGCCTGGTGATGCAGTGCCACTGCGTTGCCTGCGCTATTTGTTTGTTTATAGTTTTGCTGATTTTTTGTTTGGGGGGGGGGTCCAAATTAGCTACGTGCCTAATTGTGTTGGTTGCTTTATTTATTTCTGATTTATTTATTTATTTATTATTATTTTTGGGGTGGGGGGAGGGGGTTGCAAATCAACAACTTCCGCTAGTTGTTTTGGTTTGCTGGTGTTGATTGTTATGTTTGTGTTGTGTTTTCCTAGGTATTTCACTGGACACAACTGTTTGTCTTTGCCTGGGCATAACAACACGCAAATGGAGGTGGTCCATTTTCGAAGAGCGATTCCTTTCTCCGGCCATTTGCTTCAAGGAGATCGCCTCGCAGATGCAGCGGCTGAGCATCGAGGCGGTTTCGCGGTTTCGCGTGTATTTTTGTTCCCCGCGCGGGTTCCGATTTTCAAGAGGAAGTCGGGCAATGTTGACCCCGGATTAATAAACCCCCGTTGATTAATACGGGGGTGTTCCACTCCAAAAGTGATGAATCCCCACTAAAGCCAGGGACACCCCAGAATTACTAACTCAGTGTTTATTTATCCGGGTTCAATAAGAAAATCTGGCGACCTGGTGGCGCCGCAACTGGGTGGTGCCTCTCTTTTTTTCTTGGGAACCAACGTTTGAAGTGTTGGCTTTAAAGAGAAGCTAAGAGGAACTCAACCAGTTTGGGGGTATCCCCATTTGGAGATCAACTTTTGTTATTTTGTGTGTGTGTGTGTGTGTTTGATTTTGAGGCATCCTTTGAAAGGTTGGAATTGCAAGGGGCATGTCAACAAAAAGACTCGTGTCGGATGTCCCCTTTGACAAACCAATTTGCTGCCAAGAGGATTTCACAGGCTTCCATTTGCTTAAGAATGCGTTATGTTCCCTTGTCGGTTTTCAATTGAATCCACCGCTACTGGACATATTGTCTATTTTTGCCAGGGGGCTTAAGCAAATGGAAGCATGCATAAGGGGAGCATATTTAATTTGTATCCTGTGAATGTTGACTCCATATTAATCAACCCCAGGTTAGTAAGGGGGGTGTCCTTGGGTTTGGCGGGGAATCAGACCACTTTTGGAGAAATCCACTTATTAATACACCGGGGTTGACTAATATGGGGTGAACATTCGCAGCTTGCTCCAGTTGCAATAGGGAGCAGCACACCAAAGCTATGACAAGCATAGCTCTGCTTGCCATTTGGTCTGAACCAAAGCCTTTCACGGGCACCTGTCAGCTTTGGGTGCCAAGATCGGAGCGCCTGCATGAGGTGCCAACATATCCAATGGTCAATGGGCCATTTGGGGCATGGGGGACTCTCCAAATTTTGTTTCGTCTGATGCGCAGCGGAATCGTGCCATAGTTGATTGTGGTAAATGTGTATGATCTGTGTATGTGTCAATATACGGGACCACACGAATCATGGCTTCCCTTTTGCTATTCCTTTGAACCCACCTAGAAAGCATGCCCTCAAAAAGCCAAATGTTCTAAGGAATGCTTCCTCCATGAGCCAGCACCCGCACCATGCACGCACATAGCTAGGTCAAGGCCAGAGCAACGCCATAGCCAGGAGGCTTCAGCTTTGGGCACCAGAACGGGAACCCCGAACAAAAAAAAACTGTTAGAATAGTATGGGGAGGGGGGCCCCTCCAAAAGTGATGAGCCCCCACAAAAACAAGCGGGGGGGGCAAAAAGATCAAACGGTGTATTCGTCCTGGGTGAACATTACTTAGCTAGTGGCTCTCCAGGAGGGGGACCCGTTCTTCTCGTTTCCTCGAAGTGTCTCCGAGATTCCACGCAACAAAGTTTTGAGGGGTTCGCAAAATTACCGCGTGGGGTGGTTTCCCTTTAGACCACAGTTTAGAGGGTAGTTGTGTAGAAGGCACCTCTGATTATGGTGTTATCCAGTAAGCTTGACCACTTTGATGGTCATTGTGAGGATGATTTGTGCTTGGGTTCGGGACCCACAAAACCATGAACATTCCTTTGATCCAGAAAGCGGTTTGGATGCGCCTTTTGCGGATGTCTCTTTTTCTCCTTGGTCCTTGTTTTGGTTATCTGTTGCTCTTTGAACTTACGGATCCCAAGAAGGGGACCCCCAAAACACGTCACCCTATTCGCCCCTACACCTTATTCATTGCTTTTTCTTGCCCCTATTGAGAATCGGCCCTTGACAACCATAGAAATAGGGGGAGCTGATCCAATTCTAGGTCCCCAGTAGTGTCCTTTCTCACCCCTTTTTTGGTTGGGAGGGTTCCCCTACCAAGATGCACTACAGAAAAAAGTTGGTAGCCTTATTCTAACCTCTCTACTGGAGGACCTAGAACTAGATCCGCGTCCAACCCGTTTACATTCCTCAGGGCCCTGTTTGTGTAGCTGACTGAGGCGGCTGAGAAGCTGGCGGGCCTGCTGAGCGTGGCGGACAAGACGCAGACCCGGATCGAAGAGAAGACGCTCGTTTTGTTTTTTTGCTTGATTTTGTTTTTGTGCTTGCGGTGGGGTGTGGGGTGGGTGGGTAGCTAGCGGTAACCACGAAAAAAAAAGGCAATAACGCTGAAAAGACTAGCAGAAACACTGAAAAGACTCGCAGAAACATACGGGTGGCTCGTCTTCTTTTAATTTAACGGAGCAACCTTTTTGGTTGGGTGCTTCAGGCAACCCAAAGGCGACCCATGCCATTTTGGGGTTGCGTGTTGGGCCCGGTTCTTCAGCAGTGATACCTGCCGGTAGAAAGGAGCCCCCACTCAAAAGGGGTCGGCATTGTGGGGTACCTGGGTGTGGCTCAAAATTCCTGAGCTAGGGTTCCGCGGGCTTTGTTCATTCCGTTTGCCAAGGTGACATCTTTGGGGTTCCATTTTTTGAGCAGCCACAAGCGGTTCCTGGGGTCTCTGTAGCTTTAAAGCTCTCTTAATTCCCAAGGAGCCTTTCTGTTGTGGATATATGACAAGTGTGTCGCTTTTCTCTGGGAACCCTTGTTCGGGATGATTTGTAAGGGAAGCCAAAACAAAAACCTCCCTATGAACAAACTCCTTCCCGACATAGATCTGAGAAGCGATCCATCGAGGTCTCTTTAATTGGAATTTCATTTTTCAGGTCTGGAAATTATTCAGGTAACACTTGGTGTTTTGGATTGGAGGTCCCCTAGAAAAGAGCAATTCCGGTAGAGAGAGATTTCCTTTAAAAACAACAACAGAACTGGGAATTTGACAAGCTCTCCCTGGCTTGGGCAAACGGGGGACACCATCCCTAAGCTCCGAACCAGCGTTTTCGGCTCCAAACCACCCAGAATAAAAAGCTGAAAAGAAGTTTCGGTCCAGGTCTAGCCCGAGGCGGCCACGGTAGGTGTGTGTGTGTGTGTGTGTGTCGTCGGCGCATGGGTTCAGGTGAGCAACAGAAAATGGAAGGCTGCCCGCCTTCTCGAATCCCATTAGCTCAGTTGCCCAAAGCTGGCCTTTCAGCCTTGTGGTTTTCCAATCGTAGTCAATTTTCGTCATAAGCCCTGGTGTGTTCTTCTTCTGAAAGTTGGCTCAGGTACCCCTTTTGGAACATCAAAGTCACGTGCCACTTTTGAGACATGCCCTTGAACTCTCATGTCCCATGAGTTCCGATTAGGTCACCTGACAACGAAAAAAAGAGCTACTAATAACTTAAACAACAAGTTTAATGCCGGAAGAAAAACGACATGGTTTCCCTTACCGTCTTTCCACGAGCGGGGCGGTGGTTTGTTTTGTTTCTCCTTTGTGTGTTTTCTTCAACTCGAGGCAAGGGTCCATCCATGGCACGGTGCGGGAGATGACGCACCATGGCCGGAACGAGGGCCGGGTGTCGCTCCCTTCTTTGGCAAAACGGGGTGAGCTTCCATTTTGTGAAATGACTATTCCAGGATCTTCCAAATCATGGGCATTTAAGGCAACATCCGGCGACTACCAGGGGTCTCAGTGAAAAAACACGGAGTTGTCAAACTTCTGGTTTTGATTTATGCATTTGAAACACCTGAACCTAGTTTACAGAGCGTCTGATGGAAATCACTCGGAGAGCGGCAAAACGGCGAAATAACTCGGAGACTGAGGACCCAGATTTGTTTCCAACCCTGTTGGTTGTAAAGGGAATCGGTTTCACTGCTGGACACATGTTCGCCGTTTTGTTTTTCTTTTTTCTCCAAGGGGACGCAGTTGCAAATGGAGGGATGCTTCCTGAAGTCAGGGTTTTCTTTCCATTCGTGGGTCGAGCATACCATTTTGCGACACGGATGCAAACAGGACTTGCAAGTGGGAGACTGTCACAAACTGCCAGAGTCAACTACCAGCTTTGATTTTCTACCTTTTTGATTGTTCATTGGAAGCCAGCCCACTCCAACCAGTTTTGCTTTTCTACCTTTTTGGTTGTCCTGCATGTTCCCTATCAACCATGCATCAAGTTGTCGCTCATTGGAAGCCCGTCCACTCGATTGGAAGCAGGCATCAGAACCCAAGAACAGATCTTGTTAGTTTGAGCCAACCCGAAATACTCACTCTTTGCTTGTCGCTGTTTGACACCTTTTGCAGGGTTTCTTCATTCAACCACTTGACAAAACGTAGAACACATTTCCGGCGCCTTTTGTGGGTTCCCCTGAAACATTATGTCTTGTGGTCAATATCATGTGTATCTGTTTGTTCGGTGAGTTCCCCTCAATAAGTTTCCCTTCTGTTTGGTGGGTCCGAAGCATGGTCAACCCCTTTTGGGTTTGGTGGCTTTTTTCCTGTTCTTGTTGGTGGCTTTTTCGGCTTCCCCTTGTTCTCGTTGGTTTGACTCTTTTCAGTCCCGTTCACAGCGTGCGTTTGTTGCCTTTCCAGCTTGCAACTAGCAAAAGCAGGGTTGTGGCAAGGGGGTTACCCCCACTTAGGCTTTGGGAAGCCCTTGTATCACAGACCGCGCTGGCCCACAGGTTTCACTTCAGGGTGTCGGACCCCCGTGCCGGCCCATGCCATAGTGCAACCTTTGATTCAACCGTCTTTGGTCGCCAAACCTGGAGCTTGTTACCACAGATTCGGCGCGCACGCGCCTTCAACGCTAAAGCCCATCCATCTTCAGTTTCTTTGGGGGCTTCATGTTTTCTCAAGGTCCCACAGGTCCTGTTGGGTGTGTCATATTGAAGGTTGGACCTTCAAAACGGTCGTTGTTCTTTCCGGTTTCCCTTCAAAGACATCAATACTGGGTGCCTTTAAGAAACACCTTTTTGTTTCGACATTAACCGGCACATGCCACTTGTTTTTGTTGGTTTATGTAGACCTCATCCAGGCGAGTAGAGATGGTCAATCCCAATTCGGCGTTGTTGTTTCCCCATTGTTCGGTGTTTCCTGTGTTGAGAGGTTTGCGTTCCCGCTTTGGTGGGTCCAAAAACATGGATTCATTCCAATGTAGGTTCTTAGCGGCTTAGCTGGCGAGCCTCCCCCTCTTAGATCTTTTTGGGTTCCTACCCTGGGTGCAGGAAAGCTAACATCCTGAAAATGTGATGTTTGTTCCTTTTGCCTATGTTAAATCAGGTCCCCCCACCACCTCCTCCTCCCCCACTCCTGGTCCCCACCTCCCCCCTCACCCTCCTTCCCCCCCCACCACCCAAGCCCTTCCCACCCTCCCCCACCTCCCCTTCCCCCACCTCCCCCCTCACCTCCCCCACCTGCCCTCCCACCACCTCCACCCCTTCCCCCCCACCCCACCCGGCAGGCACATGCTGCTGCAGCTCCAAAGCCTCGGCACCCAAATCGGGAGCCGCCTGGAGGGCCTGGGCTACCGGGAGCCGAGCACCTGGGCCGCCTGGGCCTGGCACGCCGCCACGAAGAAAAAGAAGAAATTGTCCGCGAGCGAGCGGCGGGCGAATCCGCGGAGGGGGGGAGGTGGGGGGGGGGAGGTTGGGAGGAGGGGTGCCTTATGGACACTTAGGGTGGTTGCAAAATAGAACCCAAGTGTCCATCACATGTGAAGGGCTAACCTGTCTCAAACCTAATCCCCAATGATTAGCGGATTACGGATTACGCGGTTTACGGATTAGAACGTTTTGGTGTAGGACGCCCAACTACATTGTGGGGGAACTGCTTTTCCCGAAAATGACACACACCATTTGAAAGGGCCCTGGCAGGGTCACTTTTCTAGGATGGAGTCGTGGATGCCTGGTACTGGTTCGAGGCCTTGTCAAGCCCACTTCAGTGCAAAACCAGTTGGGCTGACCACAAGCCATGCGATTTGTTCAAATGGTGGTGGATTGCTGCTACTGGTTTGGAGCTCTGCAAGGGCCACTTCAGTGCAAAAGCAGTTCTGCCTTTCCTCGACCTTGCCTGACAAGTGAGGAAGAAAGTAAAACTCCAAACCAGTAGCAGCAATCCGCAGCCACTTTTTAGAAAAGTAGCCCCGAGCGGTTACTCTGAACGGGTGTTGACTGGGCATATTGCTTTTGAGCAGAAGAGGGTTCGGTTGCATTGATTTTGAATAGCCTTGCCTGGGGCGTGGAATGGTAAGAAGCCGCGCGGATTACGGATTAGGGGGTTTACCCGTTGAAACGCGGATTAAGCGGATTACGGATTGTGATTAGGCCCCCCGGGATTTCGAACAGGCTAGAAGGGGGTTGGGGGGTGGTGTGCTACGAACACCAAAGGGGTACCTGGACCCTCACCAACCTTCATTTTGGGGCAATGACCCATATCTTATGGGTAGTTTGAGGGTCTAGTTCAATTCACGAGGCCACTCAGTTGCTTGGCTTGCTCAAGCTTGCGCCAGCGGGTTCTCAGGAGATTGACTTGACTTGAAGTGCTGCACACTTTGAATGGCATGTCTTGCTAATCCTTTGCGTGTGATGGTGTTTGAGGGTACCAGGCAGGGTTGCCAGGCCTATAGCCTGCTCTGAAGCTTTTGAGCCCATTTGGGCGGTTGATCTGGTCTTTAGGCGTATGGGGAGAAGCTCACTCCCAGCCAAACAAGTACCTGGACCCTCAAACTAGCCTTAAAAAGGGACGGCACGTCCGTCATGTTAGGGCAATATCGATTTTCAGTGGTAGTTTCCAATGAACCCACCATAAAAGTACACTTTTAGCAGGGGATCTGAGGGCAGGCAGAAACAGGTCCCCGTTATTTTGGGGCAACATCCTATTTTGTATGGGTAGTGGTGAGGGCCTACGAGCGTCGCGAGGGCCCCATTCGAGAGAGCCCGATTTTCGGCATGGCCCGAGGTCAAGGTCAACGAGCTGATTTGAGGCTCCGGGACGGGGGATTAACCTTTCCCATCCTTTCCAGGCATCCGAATCCTTCTAAAAAGCCACCCAAAACCCTGGGGAAAGAGCTGGTGTCGGAAAAGAGCGATGGTTGAAAAGCGTGGACAAGGAAGCAACCCCTCGCATCATTTCCTGGCCGCAGCTGAGATGGAAGCCCGCTGACTGGAAGCTCTCCGCCTGTGGGGTCAAAATGAAACCAGGATAAATCGACCGCAGGTGGCCCAGGTGTCCAGGTACCAAGCCACGGGTTACCCTATGTTTGACCACAGCCACCGGTCAACTGGCGTCAAAGAAGGATGTTGCAACCACAGTAAAGTTAAGCCCGGGATTGTAAGGCCCGGTTGATGAATGGGGCGTGTCCTCTCAGTTTTGGAGGGGACTTCCCTTATGAACAGGACGGGTTTACATTCATCCAGTTTGGGTGAGTTCGATTATATAACTTCTCACTTTAGGCCATGATGGTGCTAAGACCTGATTCTCACGGCACGTTTGGCGGAATCTCTCACACACACACACACACCAGACCCAGACCCAAACCCAAACCCAAACCCACACACACACACATTTTTTTTCGCACCGGCTGACAAGGTCAAGACCCCCCCCATCCCCGCGACACCCTCTGAATAATTTTCCCCTTGTTGAGTGCTTGGCCCCCCAAAAATGGAAGCGACCTCTGAAATCGGGTTCCAATTTCCTAGTGACCGTTCGGGTAGCTGGGGTGCAACCGGGACTCCCAACACAGAACAACTCCATCAGCAACAGGTAGATACTTTATCAAGATCATTAGTGATGCCCTTTGTTCCTTTTGTAGGCGGAAGTTCCTTTTGCGCGAAAAGGCGCCCATCGCCCGTTTTTCTTTTGGCTGTAGGTCTAAGATGGATCTGGTGAAGGTGGAGCTATTCCACTAAAATGGACACACCCACTTGTGAGCAACTTCTCGACGATGGATTCAAGACACAAACAAACTGCCCATTTTACAACGAGCTCACCGATCCCGGACAGAAGCAAACGTTTCGCACGCGTTTTCACTTCACTTCCAATTCCGCCATTTTCCGCAGGCAACGGCGCGGACGCCGCGAGTCTCTGAGTTGGAATATTTAATCACTACGCAATCCCTAGGCGATCTTCGTGGCCGTATCTCTGGTCCATGGCCGACGTTTTGCCGAAGCCACCGGCTGACGGGCTGACGCGCGGCTTTTTGCCGGCCAGACGTGTGCCACGAGACTTTTCTAAGTACAGTTTGACCGCTCCATCCCATTTCCGTACAGATCAAAAATAAGTCTTTGCGGAGCTCTCAGGTGATGAATGACGCACGGTCCACGCTGCGTTTTCGCCTGGGGTGGGGGTGTAGGACAGCGGTGTTGCTTGAAAACGCCGCCCCAAAGAATGTTGACCCAGGATTAATAAAGCCGTCCCACCATTGGGGGGGTGATCCCTCCAAAAGTGGTCTGAATCCCCACTAAAAGGCGGCACGCCCCGATCAAAATCAACCAGGGGTTTTGCTTAATCCAGGGTTAACATTGCTAGGCTGGAGGAACAGCAAACAGGTTTGGCCACCCTAGCAGCATCTCTTTGTATGGCGACAGTGTGCAGAGACAAGGAGGGGGTGTTTCTCAAGCGGCTGGACCAGGAGACTCATTTGAACCTCCAGTTTAGCTATTTTAGCTGGTTCCAATGCTTGGCAGATCGGTTCCCCACATTTTAGGTTTCTCCATTTGCAGGCTTAGGTCATGTGAGCAATTGCTGGATGTGAGGACGCGGATGCACCCAGTGACAATGTGGCAAATGTGTCCAGCAATGTTCAGATAGCCTCCAGAGATACGAACAGCTGGTCTATAGAGATCCTGCATCATGGTTGTGGGAAATGGTCATGCTCCCAAAACCATGCTGCTTGGGCGCCGAACGGAAAAACAGCAGATCCCGTGTATATACTTTGGTGCATTTTGCATGGATGTTAGGACTTTAACTTTTTGCCAACTAAAAGGGTTTTCCATTAAACCACTAAAAGTTAAACTTCTAGCAGGGGAGCAGAAAGCAACCGAGTATACAGTACGTATACATATGCAAAGCTAGCACAGCTCAATAGGCTGCATCTTACGGGCTGCGTGTTGTAATGCAAAGATGCCGTGGGGATCACCCTTCCCAAGCGCCTCAAAAGGGGTCGGGCGCGGCACCGAGGGTCAATGGGTTTCGGTTGCCTGCTCAAGTTGATCTGCTGAGCTGGTCCCAGAATGACCCCATATTAATCAAGCAACCAGTCTATTTTTCGGGGGGTGTGTTTTTCTCCAAAAGCGGTCTGATTCCCCACATTCTACCCAAGGACACCGCCTGACCAACTGGGGTTTCATCTGGGGGCCCCTCCAAAGTGGTTTGATTCCCCACATTTCACCCAGTAGTGCCCTGTCTCACCCCTTGTTTGGGAGGGTTCTCCCACTATAATAGACTACAGAAAAAAGATCGGGTACCCTTATTCTAACCTCTCCACTGGAGGACCTAGCTTAGGTTCTTTTTCGGATTTGAGTTTGTAGTTTTTGACCACTTTGATGTCAGTTAGTATTGAGTAGTTGGGGTTTACCAGGGACACCCCCTAGTAATAAGCCGGCTTGATGAATATGGAGTCAGCACTAGAGACTTTGCCTCCTGCTCCTGGCTCGAGCCCCTCTTACGGCTGAGTTCGGTGACTTCGGCCGCAGAAATTCGACACGCATGGCCCGTATCCATCGAAAAAACCAACGAAAGAGCACCACATGTCTCAACAAACTGCAGAACAAAAGGCCCCCCCGCACACTTGCAGTCGAAGACTTGTTAGGACCATCGGTTTACAGGTCTCCTTGCCGTAGGATGTCGGGCCCGGTAAGAAGCCAATGCCTCGAACACAACAGCGAATCTTGTTCTCTCAGACCGGTATCAAACAAGTCTTGTGAAGGAGACCTGGCCCCGAAGAAACTGCGAGAGGGAAATCACCAACCACGGTTTTGGTGGGCCCGGTTTTTTTTGTTGGTAGTTGGAGGGTCTAGGTTGTAAGAGCCTTGGGGGGAGCTGTTGGTTTCCTCCCTTTTCAAGTCACGTGAGCGGTTCCGCCGGGATCTCGCGAGCAGAGGCCTGTGCAAAGCTCTTCGAATGGTCGCCTCGAGTTGGGTCTTGCGTTGCGTAGATTTTCGCAGGGGCAGGTCGTTTTTGGAGGGTATGTCTAGGGTATGTTGGGCGCTTGAACAGGAGCTGAACGGTAAGCCACCAAACTTGGTGGTTTTCTCAAACAAGACAAGGCAACATGTCCGCAGTGGCTCGGAATGTAGGCAATTTATATTGACAACTTGGGTGTTAAGACCTTATCTTTGATACAGATTCCCGTTTTGGGGTCCCTTATTCTAGGTTAGTTATAAGACATGTATATACCGCACTTGGCCCTGTGGGCCTTTGCCAGTAACGGATCCCTGACCATGGAGCCTACAGCAACGCATCTGGTTCTGTTCATGCTTGCGGAAACGACAACTTTATTTGGTTCCACATGTGCGTTGGTCCACGTTCATGTCTTAGGTTGCACCTTTCTGTGAACATGTAAGTCCATTGCGCTGCTCCCGGTGTGATTTCTTCTGGGATCTTTTTGAGTTTGTGGTT